GAGAGAGAGAGAGAGAGAGAGAGAGAGAGAGAGAGAGAGAGAGAGAATCAGAGCCAGACAGATAAAGACAATCACTGAACACATTAGTGATGATGAGGTCACCAACAGAGTTAGTGCAGAAGAGGGCTCAGCACTGAGACTGGGGTGTGCTTGTACTTACGGAGCAGAAACATATGATGAAAACCAGTAAAAAAGAAAATGGGAAGTATCCTGAAAGAGAACAAGGCAGATGAGGAATGAGAAATTAAGAGGTCACTGGCAAATTTTGAGAGATCTCGTAGTTAGAGAGAGATCAAAGATAAGAGGGAAGGAACAACTGATGAGGCAAATTCCTGAAGGGGATGGGGAAAAGGTAACAAGCAGAAGGTTTAGAACTTGCAAGGGGAAAGGTCACTGCATCCTGGAGCAAATGGAGAAAAAAAATGAGCCTGGGGCTTGAGGGGGAGAGTAAAGGAGGTGAGCTAGCTCATAATATATGCCTTTGATTTTCTCAGCAAATTGGAAGACAAGGTAGTTTCATAAGAAAGAGGGTGATGGGATTGCTAGTGGAGAGCCTAAGGAAACAGGAGCTTTGGAAGAGCCAATGTAGGGAATGATAGTCAATTAGAGACTAATAAAAATTACTGTGTAGCAATGAAGCCCCAGTTGAGGTCAGATAATATTACTCAAGCATCCTAAAAGTAGGAGCACAGAAGGTAGACAGTGAGGATTGCCCAGAGTTGAGTATTGACAGGGCATAAATGATTGAAGGGGCAAGGGTTTAAGGGTAGAGTATAGTGTCTGGTTGGATTCATTAACTAGAAGGTCAAGACCATGACGGGACAACAGTGAGGCCTGAACTGGAGTAGTAGATTTGGAAAATGGGGTGGCAGGTTGTGGTGGGGACAGAGAGAATATTTAGGATGAGTGGAACGCTGAGAGGACATCAGAGCAGGAGATTGTGATCAGATTGGGAAATTTCAGAACTGAAGATCATGGAGGTAGGATTGTTTGGGATATAGACAAGGTCTCAGATACATCTTCCCTTGTGGGTGCCTCAGGTAGAGTAGAAATGTAGCATGACCATGAATAAGTCACTTTACTCCTTCTCTGGGCCTCTCTTTCCTTATTTGTAAAAACCTACCTCACAGGGATTGCTTTGTAAACCGTAGAGTGCCATATAAATATAAACCATTATAATCAGAATTTTGGTGGTCTCCCTTCATAGATAAAAAACACACATTTTGTCTAGTATTCTCTTTTAAATTGAATTTTATTTTTTAATGTGCATTTTCTTTCCTTCTCACCTACCTCCATTGGGAAAAAACCCTTGTAACAAATACACATAATTAAGTGAAACAAATTCCCACATTAATCACGTCCAAAACTGTTTGTCTCATTCTGCATTTTGAATCCATCGCCCACCTCTGGCAGAAGGCAGGTAGTATTCTTAAAATAGCATCGTGGTTCATCGTTGCATTCATCACTTCTTGAGTCTTGCAGATTTGTTTGTCTTTACAATATTGTTAGTTTTGTATAAAAGGTTTTCCTGGTTCTGCTCACTTCTCCATGCATCACTTCATACAGGGCTCTAAAATCATCTCCTTGGCCACTTCACCATAGTATTCTATTACATTCACATACCATATTTGTTCAAAGATTCCCCCATTGATGGGCACTCCCATAGTTCTCCCATTACTTCTTTGCCATCACGAAAAGAACTGTTATCAATATTTTGGTATATATTGGTCCTTCTTCTCTTTCTTGGATCTCTTGGATCTCTGGCAGTGGAATTGTTGATCCAAAAATTTAATCTGGTCTTATTGACAACTATGATCACTATCGTCATCATCCTCATAGCTCACATTTACGTAGCCCTTTAAAATTTGTTGACTACCTTATCAGGATTATTTCTTTTGTTAAGGTTTGCAAAGCACTTTTTGTATATTATTTCATTTGATTGACCCTGTGAGGTAGGTGCTAGTATTGCCTTCATTATATGAATTAAGGAACTGAGGCTCAGAGAAGTTGCATGATTTATCCAAAGTGACACAGCTAGTAAATTTCTGAGTGGGATTTGAACCCAGGTCTTCCTGATTCCAAGCCCAGTTACCTATCCATTATACCACACCACTTCACAATCCATTCATTCTATAAATCAATGTGATAGCCAACACAGAGGGGAAACACAGCCACTTAGCTTCCCTTTTCCCCATACCCTTACTAAAGTATCCAAAACTGGGAAAACTCTGGCTTCCTAGTGAGATGAATGAACCTGGCCAAGCCTGTGCCCTTTGCCTGTGCAGGGATATTGTGGTCATTGTTGAAACTCATTTGTCCATGCTTCTCTTTAGATGCTTATGAAAAGACCTCCAGGTTTTTCCCCTTTTCGAGCGGCAGCACTGATCCCAGAAACGAACGGAGCAGAGGCTCCAAGTGAGCCCCAGACTTCTGATACGACAGATCAAGAGGAAGCACAAGGCCCAGGAAAAGAAAAAGGGCTTATTCGTAGCTTTGGTCACGGGCATAGAAAGGAACACAGCTCTGGCCATGGGCACAAAGACCACCCTGGCCTCGGCCTCGGGCATAAACATGGGCATGCTCACAGTCAAAAGCATGGCCACAGGCACAAACCCAAACATGGTGAAGGCCATCAGAAACATGAGAAAAAAGACAAGAAAAGCCATGGGAGTTGGACAAACGGGTATCTGGACAGCCCCATTAAAGAGAATTCTCCTTCTTCCAAGACCCAAGAGGAGACACAAGGCCCACCACCCCTCCTTAGCTCATCACTGCAAGAGGTCACTATTACCCCTTCTGATTTTCAAGATTTAGATCTCCTTGATCTTAACCCAACCAGTCCCCCATCTGAGCCTACAACCAAGGAGAAGGAAAAGGAGAAGGCAGGGGAGGAAGAGGACACAGATGACGACTGGATCCCAGACATCCCTGTCCAGCCAAAGAGCCCCTTGTTTACTTTGGTGCCTGATTTTCCAGAACCATCTGCCCCCAAATGCCCTGGACGCCCATGGAAACCGATTGATGCGATGGGCCCAGTCAAGGAAGAGAGCCCATATGTGGACTTTGACCTCTCTGATGCTCTTGAATTTGGGAAGAAATGATTCTCCTCCTGGCCCTTCACCATCCTACTGCCCAAATACAATGGACCACACACCAGGAAATCTCAGAATAGCCTAGAACAAGGTATGAGACTCAGCATGGATACTGGGAGTCTCAATGAACTAATGAAAAGTTGTTTTGCAAAGAGCAAATCTATCCTCATTCCTTTAGGCAAGCGAGTTCCCTCAGCAAAGCAGAAGATGGAGAAAGCGAATTCGTTTTGAGGCCATTTTCCACTGGAGATCCTAAGAACAGATATGGGGGCAGGGAAGGATATTTGTTGCTTGGGAGGATAATTATTATCTTTAATTATCTATTCAAACTAACCTTCACCTGTGCATGAGTGTCAAACAACAGAAACTAAATGGGAACTAAGGATGTGCCTGTCGCATAATTAATTGATGCTTAATTAATGCTTATTGATTGATTGATAGAAGTATGATTATCAAAGAAATCTTTTTATGATTGGAAAGAGAATAGCTCAATATTCAATGGAAAGGCAGGGCCAAAGAGTAGAAAGTGGAGAGGGATGCTGTCGGATCTCTTCTTTGGGTCCACCCCACAAAACATCCTTAGCTTTTGCCAGTGGAACAATTTGTTTCTATTCTGTTGCTGTCTCAAGGCACTCTAGCTATCCTGTGGCTGGTTCTTAAAACTTCACTATTTTCTCACTCTACTTTTGCAGAGAAGCAGTAGAAAAATGGAACTAACTTATGGTTGTTTGGTGAGCTTTACACGATTGGCTGCATTAAGTGATCCAGGCCCTATTCTACTCCATCTCTACTTTGGTTCGTTATCTTTACTTTGATTCATTAAGGCAGGGGGAAAATCCTACTCAGTCACCTGGAAAATAACTCGTGCTATGCCTAATTGGGAATAAACCTATCAGCTTAATCACATTTTGCCATTCTTATGGGGACACATAAGGCCTTGTACACATCAGAACCAACACCCAAAGAAAAGGTCAATAGCAGATGTGCTAATTGAGGATAGAAGTCTCTTGACATGGAACTCAGTGGAAAGGTTGGTGGTCCCCAAACACCCTACATCAGCAGCCAGAGGAGAATACAAGTGACACAGACCTCATTAAAAAGAACAACAACTCACTACTCTGCAGGAGTGAAATAAAGTTAAATCATGATTATCTGACCTCTGGTTAATTCATTATGATCTTCTCCCAATGCCATTTGCCTTGTTTTCTAGCAAATTTCAGAATGTTCAGACTGGGCTGAGACCCAAATGCCTTTTATTAGCATACCCTCTCCAGCTGAGGGATGTCTTCACTCCCCTTCATGAAGACCAGAGACAGGAGACTTCTTATGAGTGTGAGTAAATGAATGAGGAAAATGAGAGTGAGTAAATGAGTTATGAGTAAATGAGCATATGGTAGTATACTTAAAGTTTTACCAGGACCTAAAGATCCTCTCCCCTCAACCATTTTTTTTTAAAGAAAAATCTAGTACCAAGTGAAGAATGGAAGGGTTTTATTATTTGTTGTTATAATTGGGATCCTCAGGAAACAAAAGAATCTTCTCTGTGTCTGTCAATCCTTCACTATAATGATGTTTCTAACCATAGAAGAAAGAAGAAAAGTCAGAAATAGAGGACAACGGATTTAGACCTTAGTGGAGGACACTTAGTAAAACCTTACATCTTACAGAAGAATGAACCGAGATCCAATGACATATCATGATAAATGATAAAATATGATACTTGTAACATCTTTTCTGTCTGTACTATCCCAGATCCCACATACACTGGCAGTTGGGTCCCCAGAGCACGGCTGATACTTCTATTCCTCTCAGAGATCTAGGAATAACTCTCAGTTATTGCCACTTACAAGCTCTTATTTGGTGTGGTCCCAGTGGATTATCAAACAACCAAACTTAATTGACTATTAAATGGTGGTATTCAATAAGCAGACATAGCAAGGACAGTTATAGAAATCTCTGCCTCCTCCTTCCTCCCCTCCCCGCCCCTTCCCCACCTCCTAAATGAGAAGCACGCTCTTTCCTTGCATACACGATGTCGCTGAGGAGGGTGGGCTCAGCCTTAAAGAGTTCACGTGCCAAAAGGGTAAGTTCATAGTTCTGGATTAGTAGAAGTCCTTCTTTCTTGGTCCTCACAAAGGTCCCTTTAGTTGTAGCTCTCATCTAGGCAGTAAAAGTTAGTGCCCTTGGAGAATTCTGAAACTGCTTTTCCTGGGTGTTTCTGGTTTTATCTCAGCTCCAAATGTACGTATTACCATCATTTGCTGCCACTGGTTTTGACAGAAAGCCAATGGGAACGGAGAATCACAGATCTTCCAACTTTTAGAATTCCATAAAGTCCGAGTGTGTGTACGTGTGTGTGTGTGTGTGTGTGTGTGTGTGTGTGTGTGTGTGTGTGTGTGTGTGTGTTGGAGCATAATGCTCCCTCTGGGCTGACTTCCTCTCACTTGCTCCCCTCTTTATGGAGGTGCAAGGTTCTGCCTCCTCAAGGTGCCCCCAAGTGCAGAAGCTTCCAAAGACTCGCCCCAGGTTGTAAATACCAGAGCCAGGGTCTGATTCTCTAATATCTCAGTCCCCTCATTCATATTGTTTGATTGCAAGTTACACATTGGGATAAAAAGTGGATGCATAATTACTTTAAATGGATAGAATAAAATATTGCTTTTGAGTGAAATAGTAACATTTTCAGAATCAAATTTCTTTTGTTACTTCAACTGGTCTCGTTGATATAGGTGCTCCTGCCATTGGTAAGGATCGTAAATCACCCACACCTTCTCCTCCTGTTTAATTTTGATCTGTTTCCTTCCTGAAATCTTCTGGATTGTGGGTGCTCTTCTCCAAAATTAATTTTTCTTTGGTTCCTAGCTCCTCGTCCATAGCCTGTTCTCAAGAATCTCCAAATAGACTCATGATTAGATTTTCCCAAATGTAGGTGATGGGGTATCCAGCTCCCATAAGCACAATCAAGGAAACAAATGCATAGCAGACAGCAGGTAGCTTTATTTTCCCTCACAGAAAAATTCAGGAAGCACAATGGAAAGACCAGAAGGACATAAAGAGACAAAGAAAAGGAATAAAGTGCTCCCTTATTCCCCTCACAAAAGAAATGGAATTGAGATTACCAACAGGACAAGACCTTGGAATTCGGGTGAAATCCCTCCCTTTGACAGGGTCCAAGACAGTCCCCTTAAAGATTCAGACTTCCCTTCCAATTCTCAAATTTTGTGATTATATAATTTGTAGTGCCATCTGGGCACAACTAGGGCACAGATAGAGTGCCAGACCTGGAGTCAGGAAGACTCATCTTCCTGAGTTCAAATCTGGCCTCAGACATTTGCTAGCTGTGTGACCCTGGGCAAGTCACTTCACCCTGTTTGTTTCAGTTTCCTCGTCTGTCAAATAAGCTGGAGAAGGAAATGGCAAGCTATTCCAGTAACTTTCCCCCTGAAGGGAAGGAAGGATGTCTTGGATATTTATGGACTCCTGCGTACCTTTTGTGAACTTTTGGAAGGAGTATCTGGGGTGTGTGAAAAGGCTGTCTTGTATACAAGAAAGATCGTTAGTTTGATTGTTAGCCTGAATGCGAGTGTAAGAGAGCTGAGCACCCTTTGACTCACGTACATAGAAAACTAGACACAAGCTATACCTTGATATTTCCAGGGTAGAACTGGGGTGGGGGAGGAAAACAAACAAGAATTGGAAGTTCTTAGGAGAAGCTCTTAATTAATCAAATTAACCAAATAGAGAATTAACCAGAGAGAGAGTCCTATGAGAAGCTCCCAAGAATGAATTCAGCACATTTAAATTTCGAGTTCGGAATGGAGTGGAGCAGGGTCTGGGACACAGGCTATGTGATTAGTTGTGATCGCTTATTCCCTGAAGTAGATGACTGTGTCTTATCTGCATGTAAGCATATAGGAGATGACGGCAGAAACACCCCAACTATAACTTCCTGGGTAATTACAGGTGATTATGAAGAAAAGAAGGTGGGGTAAGCTCTCGAAAATGAGCATAGGCATTAATCCCCTGGGGAATGGGCACGACGTCATCGGCACCAACAAGCTTTTTTTACCGGGGCCTGACAGAGGAACTCTGGCCAATTCCTCTTGGAGGTCAGCGTCGCTGGGGAGACAGGAAGGTGGGGGGCCCACGGTTTCAAACGTGAGCAGAAACAAATGGAGCAGACTTTGTTTTTCTTTGAAAAGTCTTGCTTTCTCCTCTGGAAAATTGTTTTCCGTGGTAAAGGGACTTCTCGTGTATGTAATACCTCAGTGTTCTATTCACCTCTGCAAGAACACAGACAGCTTGCAGTCTATCGACTAACGACGTCGGACACGTGAGCCCTTCACTCATCTCCAATGAGATATTTGAGTCATGAAAGTAGCGAGATCTCGGACCAACTCCTACAATGGGTAGAGATGAATGGACCGTGGACTCTCAACGATCTCAAACACGGTGCTTCAAGGCTGATCTCATCATCTTCCTCTTCAAACTTGCTGTTCCTCCAAATTCCCTTATTTCTGCTGAGGGTTTCCATATTGTCCCAGGCACTGAGGGTTGTTCCCCACAAACCATTCCTGACTTATCGTTCACCATCACACACTACATTCATTTGGTTGCCTAATCTTGTCTACTCTACATCCACATCTTTCAATTCCGTCCTTGTCTTTCCATTCACAAGAGCAAGACCTTAACTCAGGCTGTCATGGTCTTTCCACTGGATTATTGCAATCCCCCCTTCCCCCAATCAGTCTCCTTACTTTCTGCCTTCTTCTCCTCTACAACCCATCCTTTATACAGCTGCCAAAATAATCTTCCTAGGGGCAGCTAGGTGGTGGCCCTGAAGTCGGGAAGACCTGAGTTCAAATGCGGCCTCAGACCAAACACTTGACACGTACTAGCTGTGTGACCTTGGGCAAGTCACTTAACCTTGATTGCCTCACCCAAAAAAAAATATAAATAAATAAAATAAACAAAAAAAAATAATCTTCCTAAGGCACTGGTCTGACCACCTCAGCTGTTCTGGGCTGAGCTTGACTCAAGCCAGGACCCTGGAAGTTTTGATTCAACATGAGAACAAGACAAGACGCTTGAAAGTTGTTCAGCCATTAACAAAAGGATTTTCTTAGCCATAGCAGGATAGTCAACGAGGATATGCATTGAGCTGATTCAGTTGAGGAAAGCTCCCTGGTCTAAGTAACCCTTTGTTTTCCACCATCCAAGCATCAGGGAGCTCCTGATATGGCTGTACTGTACCAGGAACAGTTGAAGCCTTTAGTCCTCTGGGTTAATCAAGTCTCAGGGAGAGTTTCAGTAACTTTTAAGGGAAAACTAACCTACCTTGCATGGAGGACAAGAGTTAGGATTCTTCTGCCACCCCTAGGGGTGAGGTCCCTAAGGTATCCAGAGGATCTTCCATTACATAACTACTGATCTAAGATCCATTGTTGTCAACCTTGACCTCTGACATTCAAAAAAAGCCTGACATAGGCAGCGCTGAAACAGGGAAAGGAAAGCTAAAACAGAAACAGAGAAGAAAAAAAAAGCAAAATTAAACCAAACACGCAATGTAACAGTTCCCTGAAGGAGTGACTGGGTCTGGGAGAGTTCCAGATCTAAACAGTGTAAATCCAGGTCTAAATCCCGGGGGTAAACAATCAGGTCCCTGTGAGGTCGATGCTAAATCTTCGCAGTTCCCGGTGGTCTTGCGATATAAACACTTGGCCATAAGCTGGAGAAATACCAGGAACCGCAAGGTTTCAGGGAAGTGATGCCCTTCCTTGCTTAGTCACCGACTCTGATCCTCCTCATAAGTCAAGGAGATCTCCTCTGTATCACCCCATCCTTCATGTTCCCTGGATCATGACGCATTATCTCCCCCTCCTCAGGAGATCTATGGCAGCAGGATGAAATACGAGATCTTTGCCCCATGAGGGGCCTCTGAGGAACTTCTCTTCTTCTGGGCCTGCTAGTTAGACACTTTCACTTTCCCGTTGTTGCCAAAAAGCAAGCTCCTTTCCAGCAACCGGTCCTTCAAGCCTTCCCTAGAGAGCAGCTGTATGACGGTCAGTGGGTACAGCAGCGGCAACCAGGTGAAGAGGCAATCAGTGACCATTGGTCTATTGCGAACAGGCCAGTGGCCGCTCTTCTGCCACGAGG